AAACCTTGCCACGCAAAACCAACACAGGTTTCTTTGCGGGAATCTTCTTAAGTCACTTGTCTGTTTTGTTAGGGGTAGTTTAGTAAAATCTAGATAATATAATCCATAAATCCACTTAACTGGGCACACGTAAACTGCAATAAGCTGAAAGTGAACCAATGAGTGATGATGTGGAGCACTAACTCTGCGCTGTGGAGCACTAACTTCCCTCAGGCAGCTCTCTATGTGATTGTCTTACATATGGACCCAGTGAGGGTGCTAGCATCAATCCATATATTAAATATTAGTAAAGTGTTCTTACTTTTTCAGCTAAAAATTAAAGAGAAGTTCTAGTATTTTCTTCATGCACCCCAATGGGTTGTCTTGCATGTACGCTGGAGTGTGCACACCCTACTTCAGACCCTACTGCTCTAGCGTACCAGGGTTTTTTTTTACCTGTGAACAAAGCTACATATGCAAGAACATCTCAATATGGTCTAATTGTTCTTAAATCATGAGCATATATAGCCTGCTGAAGTCATGCATTTTACAATGCTTTGAAGAATCTGAAGCTAAAAAAAACCCCACAGTCTACACGCAAACTTCTAATCCTCTTCTAGCAGAAAATATAATTGGTCTAAGACATTAGTTATCATAATACCAGGCTGGAATTAAATAAAAAACAGAGACAAAGATTAAACACCACAGTCAATTAATTATTAAATGACTTCAGCATTATCCAGTTTTACCAAGTAAGGCTGCCCAGTGAAGGGGAGTTCGAAACAAGTTGTCATAAGATGTCACATTGCAGCCTTCATAGGAGGTCAGGACATCAACCACTGCTACATTCCCATCAGCAACAGCAAAATGAAGGGGAGTTCGTCCTTCATAGTCTTGCCAGTTAAGCAGAGATTCTGTAGGTGCAGCTTCCTTTAAAAAAAATTAACACAAAATTAAAAAAAACATTTAAGTTGAAGAGAAAAACTATATACTCTTTACAGATTGGTGGTTTTTTGAGTCTTATAATAAGGAGGTGAACTGTCCTTGTTCAGGAGAATATAGCTCTACAACTAAATATTTTTGTTACAGTACAGGCTATTTTTAAAGTATTTCTTAGGGAATTTTTTTTTATATACTTAATTATTTTATAAGACCTGATTTTCGGTACATACCCTGTAGTTGTATTACCAGCCTGTTGTGCCAGTGGCTCCTTACACAGATCTTTAAAACACTAACTCAGGCTCTTGTGAAAATAACTAGATCTTCTTACTTGATGTTCTAAGTTGAACATGACAGCTATATCTTCGTATTTTTCTCCTAGGACACTCCCCTTTTTGCACAAGTTAATCTTATGGCTTTCACTGTGATACTTTTCTAGCATGTTAAAACCACATGACTATCAGAGTATTTCTAAAGGAGATGTCAAGGTCTTTAGCTGACAGGATAGAAATAAGTTAGAGAGTACTTCTAATTAATGTATCCATGTGTAATGGGCTTAATTTTTATTAAAAAAAAACTTTTAAAGTATTGTGATTAGTCATTTGATCATATAACATAGGCATTAATAGATATAACTTGACTTTTCATCACATTTTCTTAAAAAATATGCTAAATTACTTTCACATAAGGCCCCTAGCTATGTAGTTTCATATTACAGTTTCCTCTCTCATCAACTTTTTTCTGGACAGATTTATCTTCATGACTTTCTTTCTCAGGCAAAAGAACAGAACAGGTACAAATGAACATCATCTTAGCGTTGCAGAGATCTCCAAACGGCAAATATCAAAGGCCCATGAAATTCAAACTTCACTTTACTGAAAAAAAGAGGTCTCTCTAAAGAAAATGGTAAACAATAAACCAATAGAAACTCAGGATGCAGGACACTAAACATCTAGAGCAGAAGCAAAACAAGAGCTTAAATAAACTACAGGGAGTAATGAAAGCTGGAGAGAGACTTTTTACAAGGACATGTAGTGATAGGACAAGGGGTAATGGCTTTAAACTGAAAGAGGGTAGATTTAGATTAGATAGAAGGAAGAAATTATTCACTGTGAGCATGGTGAGGCACAAGGAACAGGTTGCCCAGAGAAGCTGTGGATGCCCCCTCCCTGGAAGTGTTGAAGGCCACGTTGGATGGGGCTTTGGGCAGCCTGGTCTAGTGGAGGGTGTCCCTGCCCGTGGCAGGGGGGTTGGAACTAAATGGTCTTTAAGGTCCCTTCCAACCAAAATCATTCTATGGTTCTATGATTCCAAGTCTGCTGTTCTATCTCCAACAATTCAGAACAATTCACTTAAGTCATGAGAACTCTGTGCAACAGAAAAAAGGGATGTAGTCCTGAGAATTTTAACTTCCAACACTAGAGTGGGTTTAACCTGTGATAACCAAGAAAAACAATCCTTCTGAAAATACAGCGCCATACTCACAATATACCTATGAAAGAGGAGGGAGAGATTGTGATCAGTGCAGCTTGTTAACAGTTAAAGCAACTTCCTGATTCCTTTCTCACTAAACTAATTGCATTTTTTCCTATCGACTTCAGTAGGTACACAAATAGGCCATAAAATCACCTGTATTTGCATTATTTCAAAAGTAGTAACTATTACATAGAAAACTAACATCTAACATTCAGAATGATAAATCAAGAAGCAGAAAGTCAGGAAATTGAAGAGTTATGGCTTCTACCCAAATATTCATTGACCAAGGTTGTACATTCTATATGTTCTATTTAATAGATTAAATTTAGAGTTATATGTAACCATATTTTCTAAGGGCAATCTGGCTAAATTAATACTGCTGTAGCAAACTCAACTCTGCAACGCTCTGGTTCCTTGCTTCTTACTGTCTCACTTTTTAACAGTGTCAGCTTAAACCTCCTAATATTTGATTAATATAAGTTTTCTAAAATTAAACTTTTACAGACTTTGCATAATGTATGTAAATGCTAATTAAGTTGCTTGTCTCATTAAAAAACTGCATCAGAGTTTTAGATATCAGTAGTTAGCCATGTTTTGCTAGAGAAAAAAATTAACATACTTGAAACATACTGTAGTTCATTACTATATCTAGCCACTTGTACAATACCAGATAATCTATTAAAAATGTAAAATTGATAAATGTGAATCTCCTAAATAAAAATACAATCAAAGTTAAGATTGTTACATGGACAAACTACAATAATCAAAGCACGGATAACACTTCTAATAAGCATTCAAAAACATTTATCTGAGCCATTACAGTGAAAAGTGAAGTTTTATGTTCTTCCCCAGCTTTAATAATTCTCAAGAGAAAGCTAACTGATAATACACTTACTTTCTGTCTATTCTAAGAGCTCAGCAGGGGGAGTATAGAGCCCACTGCAAAAATTCAGAAGTGATCTTTTTGAGAATCACTTTTAAGAATGACTAAAAATGAATGATGATATGCACAGAACTTATTACTGGAATTCTAACTCCACCAGAGGAAAACCTGTTTGAACAAAATAGACAAAAAAGAAAACCAATGCTTCTTCACTTTACCTATAATTTATTGATGTAATGTGGAAAGCTAAGTTTCAAGCCTTCTAAAAGAACAACAAGATATTAAATAAATGACTCCTAAAACTCCTGGCTGAAAGTCACAGATGTTCCCCAGAACATATCTCCATACTAAAAAATGTTACTTTTGCAAAATACTAAAGAATCTTTTAATGACAAAGCCACTATTCATAGTCTCAAAGTACTCACGTGTTTGGGAATTTTTGGCCACTTAAACTAAAATTTTCTAGGCCTCTTTCTGCCTACATTCAAGAGTATAATTTCTTTGGATTTTAAGTGGTTTTGGTGTAAAACTAGCTATAATTAAACTGTCATACTATATTAATATTTTAAGCACAATACACAGAAGAAACAGAAGCTACACATTTTTCTGCAGCAGTTAGAACCATGGAATTGTAGGCAGTAATGGAGAATGTTGTATAAATAAATGTCATGTCTCTTACCATGAAGAATAAATAAAGAGAAGAGATACAAAATAGACAGAGTACTAAGCAGTTGCTTCATCATATTAATGGAACCTTATTCTGTTCTTTTCTCCTTACATCTTCCCAACATTTTTCATGTAACCAAGCACTGCTGAATCTGGAAAGGTGGAAAAGGAAGTTGACCATGAGAGGATCTCCAGATTGGAGTTTCTGTCTACTTCACATGCTTACTTTCCAAATACATAATGACTTCCATTTTTGCTGTATTTCATGGATTTCAATATTAGACATAACCAATTTGTGCATAACTGTCGCTCCTGCAAACCCAACCTACTACTTCAGCATTCAGTTGAGCTCTTTTCATTATTGTTTATTTTGACAATCCCAATGGGCTAAGTACTATACAAACATAAAACAGAAAGACGATCCAGGAGACAACAAATGGACACATCCAGATGGCAGAGCAGAGAAAAATGAGACAGTATTTTTCAGTATGATAGACTGTGGTCTCAATAAACCCAGCAGCTTAACTTTCGTCAAGTTTTTCTAAATAGCACTGGAGAATTCTGAGTAGGACACTAGAGAAAAATAATTTTCTGGGGAATTCTTCCAGAGTGCTAAAGATAACATGAGAGAAACAACAACAGTGTTGTTTTTCATAACTTAGCAGGCAACAAAGGCTGCCAACACAGATTGACCAGAGGTAGATATCAATATCTGACTGCTTTCTGAGCAATGACACATAGCGTACACCTTATAGCACTCTATCACGAAAGCAAAGACAAATGGTTTGTGTTGCATGTGATTAAGAAAGTAGAGAGGCAATCGTGACACAGAGTTGTAGGCCTTTTGCACTGCTATCACTACAAGACAATATTCTCATGAACTTAGAAATGCAATTTTGTAAGTTAAGACACAAGATGACAGAAATTTTACCTGTATGGGTACATACATTAGAAATATCACACAGAAAGAACGTGAAAAAGTATCAAGTGAACATGGATGTGAAGACCTAGAGATGAATGAGGACCAAAGGTGATGCTTGGACAACAGATTTGGAACTGGGTAATATGGTAAAAAGTAGCTAAGAAAGGAGGGGAAGATTGTGAGCTCTGCCAGGTAGATATCTATCAAGACAAGTAAGAAAAATACTTCACTTTGGAGTGAAGAAAAGATCTTACTAGAGGATTAAACTCAGAGGCACCAGCAATAAAAAAAAAAGGTATTTATACTCAACCGCAGATTCAATCAACAGATTACCTAGTTTCTGTATCATCAACTTTAGCTTTTCTGTAGCTAAATTACTTTTTCATTTAAACTTGTTATTATCTTACTCCATCAATAAGCATATATAGGTATGACTATTTGGAATATAAACAATTTAGTTGATGCATGAAAAAGCCTAGCTGGAATCAAGAATACACTCTTTTTAACTGTCAAATGAAAAAAAACAAATCAAAACAAAAAACCAGGACATGGTCAATGGTAATGATTCTGTATTACCAAAAGAGAATCTTTGAGAACACCTTCAGTAAGGAGAAAGGTATTTTTGACCTTTCGTAGTGCATCTGGCTGGGATGGAGTTAATTCTCCTTGAAGCAGCAGGTACGGTGCTGCACTTTGTATCTGTGATTAAAACTGCTGATAACACACCAATGTTTTGGCTATTACTGAATAGTGCTTGCACAGAATCAAGGATTTCTCTTTTTCATGCCCTGCCCTGTCCTGCTCCCCTGCTCCTCCCCAGTGAGTGGGCTGGGGGTGGGCAAGAGATTGGGAGGGGATGCAGCTGGGACAGCTGACCCAAATTGGCCCAAGCAATATTCCATACCATATAGCATCATGCTAAACAAAAAAAGCTCAGGGAAAGGAGGAGGCAGGGGCGATGCTCATGGCTACACGATTTGTCTTCCCAAGCAACAATTAAGTGTGCTGAAGCTCTTTTTTCCACTTTCCTGGGGGGTGGCTAACATCTGCCTGCTGATGGGAAGTAGTAAATAAATTCCTTTTTTTGCACATAGCTTTTGCTTTCCGTTCTAAACTGTCATTATCTTTATCTACAAGTCTTCTTGCCTTCCTTCTGTTTTCTCCCAGTCTCACAAGAGGGGTGAGTGGCTGTGCGGGTGTTAGGTCGTTGGCTGGGGCCAACCCACCACAACTTTTAAAAACATTTACTTTGACTATCTAATGCTTGAAAAATTCTGTATTTGAATACAGCAATCCTTACCTACTTTTCAGCAAATTTATTTCTCTAGTGTGGCAGAAAAGTAGATGGTATATACAAACTAAAACTTTGTGACAAAATGTTGTTTGTGACAAATTATTTCACAACTGAGTCCAAATTACAAATATCTTGAATAAATAGAAGTAATACAGAATTAAAATCACACTAATTTAACACTGGAAACTTCTCCAAAACTATTTTTATAGTAAAAAAAGTATCAGTAAGATTATCAATGTGATTTGGAGAAAAGCAAAGCAAATTCTCATATGCTACACTTACGTTCTCAACTTGCAAGCTAATCAGGCAACCAGACATAGAAGTCATTGTAGTTAGCTTACAATCAATATGTGTCTAGTTCTGAAAAACCTTTGAAGGACAAAGATATACAGAGATTGTTGTAATATAAGAGGAAAATTCAACTGAGACTTCTGTATCTTTCCATGAAGTTCAGAGATTTCCACAAAATAAAAATCAAGGTAAAAATCAACCTGAGCACAGGATTTCATTGTACTCATTATAACTGCCTGTAGAAATGAAACTGAAATACTGCAGAAAGACAAAATATGCCATCAAAAATTATTAAATCTGTACAGAAAAATATTTGGAAATTCTCTTAATAAACTGATCATGGGCTGACTGGTAATTGATCAACTATTTCCCAGAATTCTGACTTGAAAGACCAAATTAAATTAGACTTTTTATTACAGTTAACTAAGAATAAACTTTCAAACGAGGAATAAACTTTCAAATAATAAAGAAAAGACACAAAACAAAGAAATTGGTGTGCAAGATGCAACTGAGATGAGTAATATGAGTGGCCATTTTAATTAGGAGAACTTGCAAACCCTTCGCCCTTCCCTTCCCCCCCCAAATTAATAGTTACACACATCAAACTAATTAAGAGAATATACATAGTCCATGAGTTAGAGCAAAGATATTCACCCACAGAACTCAAGGAAACCCTTTTCAAGAGAGCAAAAATATTTCTGATGATTTCTTACAAAATTCTGGAGATCAGGAAAAGCAAATTATTTTATTCTCAAAGAGTCAGTGGACTAAAATGAAAAATTTCAAGAGAACAAAAAATATTTCTATCAGAGTAAAATAATAAATACAGAAAGTGTTATATAATAGACTTTCTTACCAGAATACATTTCACTGTGTGAATTGCACTAGGGTCCTTGTTGTTAGCTGCCCAGTGAAGTGGGATTTTTCCTTCAATATCAGGGATTCCAATATTTGAATCATGTTTTATAAGAAGTTTCACATGCTCTGGGTTATTGTAGTAGGCACTCCAATGCAATGCAGTTTGCTGGAACACAATATTCACAAGTTTTACAAACACATTGAAAAATGAATACAAGATGAAAATTAGAGTTGGTTAGAACTCAAAATATGATTTAACTACATTTTCACAGAATGAAAGAGATCATCTAATCCAACTCCTCTGCTCGAAGCAGAGTCAACAGACTGATCAGGACACTGTCCAGTTAGATTTTGAGTTACCTCCATAGATAGAGACTCCATAACCTCTCTGGACAACCAGTTCTAGTGTTTTACCTCCGTCACAGTAAAAAAAAAAAATATTTCTCAGGTTTAAACAGAATTTATTATATTTCAAACTTGTGCCCATTCCCTCTTACCTGTTCACTGGAGACCACTCAGAAGAGTCTCGTTCCATCTTCTTTACTGCCTCCCATCAGGTATTTATACACATTGGTAAAATCACGCCTGAACTGTCTCTTCTTCAAGCTAAACATCTGCAGGTCTCTCAGACTCTCCTTGATGTTAGCTGCTCCAATTTGTTAATCACTTTTGTGCCAATCCACTGGACTTGCTCCAGTATGTCTATGCCCTTACTGCACTGGAGAACCCAGAAGTAGACACAGCATTCCATTTGTGGTGCCACCAGTGCTGAGCAGAGGGGAGGGACCACAGGTAAAACCAGCTTTAAACAATGGGTAAATGAGCAATCTTTTGTTACACTTCAGTCAAGAGGACTGACAGAAAATGGAGCACATGTACCTAGGGTGGATTACAACTCAAAATCACTGGAAAACAGGCTTTAAACAAAACTGAACCAGAGGTCCATCCACCTAAGTAAGAGTAGAGATGCTCACACATCTTTGCTACTGAGGTCTAAATTAGGTCTAAGCTACATCATCTTACATGAGACCCACACTGAGAAGCCCTCATGCTTGGAATATAAGTAATTCTAGTAGAAGATTACTTGCTTCATATGAGGATTTCTTGGAGTATGGCAGGAGAATACGGTACATGCTACTTAGCCAGTCAACAGGGCAATGCCATCAAATGCAGCTATTTCAGACCTGGAGAAAATATCTGAGCTTGGTATTAAGCAATCAGGTCCATGTTAGAATGATCATCTGAAGCAGACCTCAGCACCAGAGCTGCACTATTGAACAACTGCAGTAATTAGTTTGGTCCCTCTTAAATTTGGAAATCTCTTGGAATAACACAAATTGATGGAGAAGCACATAACAAGGTTACTCTCCCCTAGAACAAGATGGCACTGAATACTGATACTGAACTTGGAACCATCTTGAGCAAAGGTTTTGACTTTCTGCACTGTCCTTGATCACTCAGAATTCTAAGGTTGAATATTACTGAATCTAATGCCCACCAACAACGGCAGTCCAACAAAACATCAAAACACAATCCATGCTCCTATTGCCAATTCCTGACTGCCAGTGGCTTTTTATGGGCAGTATCAATGTTCATAATTACATAGGCAAACCAATGTGCGAGGTTTTTTTGAACACTAAACCATTGGTATATTAACAAGTATTTTATTTATCAGACACATCTCTCCCAACTGCCAAGTAGCAGAAGTTTGTAAGATACAGAATGAATTTTATTTCCCATCTCTCTTCTCTGCTCCCCCCTGCAAAATACTACATGGCAATTTGATTTGAAAATTGAAAGAAGTAACTGCTGCTGGACATTTGTGTATAAGCCTATCATTATGATACCCTGGATTAACACCCTTGAACAGCAAGATAGAACATAGGACTTCAGTTTCGTATCCTTAACGTCCCTGTAAAGGAGGAAGGCAAAAAGGAGCCTAATTTTTGTTTGTTGCTTTAAGCTGTTAGTTTAGTACCATGGTAACATAATAATTTTTGTCTACTTGGTAGTTCACTGAAAACGAGCTCATTCTAAGACATAACTGGAGGGGCTACAAGGAAAGGTCTGATAACTGATGCCACATACAACAACATATAGCCTAGCACCATAATGCATGTTCAAACCATCACAGCCTGTCAGGATTTGAAATCAAAAAACTTCCAGCAGTAGAAATTTGTAATAAGTTAACAAATGTTATTTCTTAAGGGGAGCTGACCAGTATCTCACAAAACAGATAGTTGCAATGAAAGCAAAACCTTTTGATTACCAGGAGGCCAATGTAGTCTTGGTTTACTGGCTTCTCTCACCTACAACTTGCTTTTCAGTCAGTTGCCTACATGGAAGCAGATGTAAAAGACGGTTTTCTCTCTCATGTTCAGGAATTATACTTGACAATCTTGATGCGCAAAGTTGCAGTAAGGGAAACAAATAAGCTATGTGCCCAACAGGGTCAAACTTGTTGGATCGCCCTTCATCAACCTGAATTCCATCATTGCTACTGTGACTACTCATGGCATGAATTGGAATAAAAGTGCTCTACATTTTGTGGGAAATCTGGCAATCCTTTAATACTGCCTTGGAAATCTGCTAAACGGCAGGCAAGGTTCCTAAAAGGTTTTGGCAGGTTTCCATACACCTTTGTTAATTAATTAACATGGTCAGGAAGTCAGCATGACCTCTCCAGAATGACTGCTGTAATTATAGCCAGGGTTTCCATGATACATGTTAGAATATCCTGGAAGGCAAACAGCTGATTGCTAGGGCACAGGCTGGTTCAACTCCATTGTCCAGAGGGGACAGATGATTCATTTGTTAGAAACTGGGCTTGCAGCTCTCTTATCCTGCTTCCTAAATGAGAAAATCAGATAAGGAATTTAGAGTTTAAGCAGTAACACCACTAGAAAGTCCAGTCCCCTTCTCTTACTATGTCCTTTTGTGGTAGAATGAAAACCCACCACATGAGCTATGGAATGATGATTTCCACTAAGACCAGCCTTGCCAAGCTATATGTTGATTATCAGCTGATTCTAATGCACTTGATCAGGTTTGCAGTCGCATTTGAATCAGTGGTAGATTAGTGCCTGGTGTGGAGAGTTTTTGCACCAGTTCCAAGATCACTTACAAATTGTGGGAAGGAGACCCTCCTGTTCAATGCCTAAAAAGCCTCCATCATCAGTAACGGTTCCAGTTGTATTAGATACCATGCCTACCTTGCCAATGGTAGTTACATAACTGTTTTTTGGTCCTTCTTTTGCTGTTTACATTTGCAGTGTCTCACTTTTTGTTACTATATCCTTGGGGAAAAAATTGGGATTAGGGAACATTCGTATCTCTGGATTCTTTGAAAGAAGTCTCTCTCAGATTTCAGGATACACAAACTGCTCAAGCACATGAAATTTAAATATTATGCAGAAACACAAGAAACCCTTTACCTAGAATGTCTGTCAGGACTGTGTGTGAAAGTCCTATGTCTCCTCACACCCTACTATTAATACTAATGGAGGCAACCGTTTCACATCAGTTTTAAATCAAGCATTGCTAAGCACTCAAACGTAAGAACCACACTAATCTGAGTACCTCAAAAAATACAGTTACATTACAGTTGTTATGCTAAATAACTATTCCTTCTATTAAAATGGGTTAGTGTGCTATTACTGTGGACTGGCAGTCCTCTCTGTATGAAGAGTAATAGTAAGTCAGTTGTTTAAGAACTATACTACTTTCCTTCTAAGATCCATCATCTCTCCTGGCTGGTCATGATAGTCCTTTTTAACAAACATCAGTAGATTATTTCTGAGGCTCTTAGAGGTCAGTGTGCCTCTGAAGCAGGCTCGTAGTTTTATTGATGTGGTAGAGCATGACTTGACTTTGCAAAGGGACATCAGACAACTCATGACGATATATGCACTATATGATATAACTGGAAAGTCAGCTGGAAATTTCCTGGCCTTTCAAGCAACTGTTGTCACTACAAATGCAAAAAATCAGTCTGAAGGACTTTATTCTAAGAACGTAGTAACGTAAAGCTCTGAAGATGTTAAGATTACATTTTCTCCCAAGGGAGTCTGCAGTTTCACAAAACAAATGCCAAAGTGAGTAACTGGTGCCCTGCTTCTAAGTCTCATGCCAGCATGTCAATCAACTTCATCATCACATCCCTCTCACTAAGTAATGCAATCATGGAAGCAACAGTGCATATGCATTGATAGCAGACCTTCTGCTGCCAATTGGTCCATTTGATGATGATGATGATAATAAAAACAAAACCAACTTCATACTTTTTATTGTCTCTGTTAGAAAACCTTCTTGACAAATGCCATCACATTCTATCCCTGGCCAAAAAGCCCTTTATGACTAGGAGGCTCTAAAAATTGCCCATTTTTACTTACAGAGATACAGAAAAAAGGACAGTTGACTAGATAGATTTAGTCTAGGGATATTTTTACCCTTGGATCATCCTTGTGAATGTAAATGAAGGAGTAAAGTTGAGCTAGGAAAAAGTGGGACAGGTGAGGGTTGTTTGAAGGTGGTGTTTAATTTTTCTCTGTTTCTCACTATCCAAAACTATTTTAACCGGCAACAAATGAAACTATTTTTCTTTAAGTTGAGTCTGTTTTGCCCATGACAGTAACTGGTGTGCAATCTTAATCTCAACCTATGAGCTTTTTCAACCTATTCTCCATCTGTCCCATTGAGGAGAGGGAGTGAGAAAGTGGCTGGAGGGGCAATTGGCTGCTGGCAAAAGCTAACCCACCACACATTTCTAAAGGGTAGCACCTGTGGACAGCTGTGTCAATATCATCACCATTTTAGTGGCCCCAGTGCAGAGTGAAAGCAATCACTTGATGTTAGGAAGCATGTCTGCCAACAGCAAACCTGCATTCAGCTCAGCACCAAAGGAATTTCCTTTTTTTTTTTCTTTAAACTCACCTTTGGTACTGACAAATACTTTGAAGGCCCTTTGCACAAAGTTTTCTAGTAACTGTTATCATTAAATGATTCCAAATGTATGTTTTTTCCAAGGAAGAAAAGCAAGATAAGCACATGATATCCACATTCTAACACAGATCACAATGTTACACAAAGATTTAGACCTTAAAACCAGTTGGTTTTGAATCCTTTATTATTCTATGTACTCTCAACAAGAATGTCAATGAACTCAGTGCAATGAACTTCTACATTATTATCATCAGGAAAATATGAATATTTCTAAAGGTGATCATTATAATACCAGCGTTAGCCACTAAGACTCAGAAAAAGTTTGTTATGATTGAAATAATTTTTCAAACACAACTGTTTGATGTAACACCAATTTCTAAAGCTACTGCAAGTATTGTCTTAAAATAAGCGGTATTTTTACCTTGTTTCTATCCTGGGTATCCACTTCTCCAGGTGCCATATGTTTTAGCAACAAAGCTAAACATTTTGGGCTTTTGTGACGTGTTGTTAAATGTAATGGTGTCATATCCTCCAAGTCCTTCTGCATCCAGTTCCCTCTACGAGCCAGTAAAAGTTTCATGAAGCGGTAGTTTCCCTGAGTAAGGAAAAACATCAGAAATTTATTCCAGCTTGTCAAACCAAATGCTGATACTGCTTAGATATATTTACTGTTGTATTACAGTGCCTAAAAAAATCCACCAAAACAGCTCTAAGCTTTGGAAACATCTAATGAAGATTTTTTGTTAAGAAACATTAACTTTTTATTTTTAAGTTTATTTTGCTACTTGGTATTAGATACATATCTTCCATTAGCAGAGTGTGTAAGCCAGGGTTCACTAATACCAAAAATTCTGCAATATTGTCAGAGTTTCTTGAGAGTTTAACCTCAATAAACATCATGTAAAAACTGAAATAATACAATTACATGCTGGTTTCAGCAAGGTAGACAGTTATCAGATGAGGAATAAAACTAAACATGAAGAAAGATTACGTGAGGGTGATGAGGCACTAGAACAGGTTGCCCGGAGAGGTTGCGGATGCCCCATCCCTGGAAGTGTTCAAGGCCAGGTTGGATGGGGCTTTGGGCAA